AACGGTACTTGTGGTGGCCACGGCTGTCCCCACCTTGGTGCTGGGGGAAGCATGGGTCGGGCAATGGTTTAAAACCAGAAGCAAGGTGGCACTTGCTGCTGGCTTTAGGGAAGTCCTGGGGACCACACGTGATGGTGGTCATGGTTCTCCCTGCCCCGAAGGCAGGAGGTGGGCCATCTGGGAATGCTTTGATTCTTGAGCTGCCACAAGAAGAAGGTTGAGTCCCAGCTCAGTAACTCACCTCTGTTTTCCTTCTCCAGGGGCAAGAGGACAGTTCAAAGGAAGGGACTTCAGTTTGACAAGTCTATGACCTAGACCTTAACTGTTCAACTTACCAAAATGCCTTACACATTCCTAAAGATAAAAATATATGCTGAATTTACTGTAGATAAAAGATACAAGCCATTAGTGACCCAAAACCTAGTTTTGAAACTTAAAAAAACCATACAACCCCCCCCCCCCCCAAAAAAAAAAAACCAAACAACCCTGTTTGTAAGAAAATCTTCATACTGTTTTGTACAAGCCTTTGTTCCCCGGGGAGCTGCTCCAGCCATGTCGGGACGGGCACCGGGGCTTTACCCTCCTGTCGTGACAGAGCCCACGAATGTGTGAAAAGGGAAGACTGTGTTTGTACAGCAAAAGACCGGTGCAATTATTATTATTATTTGGTTTATTTGTCTTGGTTATTTTGGGAGTGAAAGAAGCGTGACAGACCCACCATGGAAGGAAGGGAGCTGCTCATTGATGGGTGGCTCTTGGCACGTCTCCTTGTTTGTATTGCTGAGTGTTGATGCAATTAAAATGACGTAGTGAAGAGCTTGGCCTTGCTTTGCTTTTCTGTTTATTATTTCTTTTTATTGTAAGTTTTCAGGCCCAGCAGCTCTTTGGCATCACTGAAGAAGGCCCCTGCTTTGGCCAGCAGCAGATCCTTTACCTGCCCCTTGCTTGCTGTGCTGCAAAAGCCATTCCCTCTGGGTTCTTTCTCCAGCACGACCAAAGCAGAGCACAGTTTCTTCCAGCACTGGCTGTGCTCACCAAGCTCCTGTGTGCTGCTGCTGCCCTGCTACAGGGTTGGGCAAGCCTGGGGATGGGGCACACTGGGTGACCAACTGTCCCTCCTGCCAGTGAGTTTGTCCCTGTGGGTGCTGCTGGACTCTGCTCCGCTCTCCCCTTCTTGTGGCTTTCCTTTCGAAGGTTTTTCTCCCCTCTATCCCCCCTCCCTGACCCCCTTTTTTTCATTTCTTTTTTTTCTTTACTTTCACTCATTTTTCTTTTCACCCTTTTTCCCTTTCTTCCTTTTTTCTCTTTTCTCTCCCTTTTTTATTTTTTCCTTTTTTTCTATTTTTATCTTTTTCCTTTTTTCCCTTTCCCTCTCCCCTTCTTCCCTGCATTTTCTTTCCTCTTTTCTCCCTTTCTCTTTTCTCCTCTTTATCTTTTTTTTCACCCTTTTTCCTTTCTTTCATTTCTTTACTTTCACTCTTTTTTCTTTTCACCCTTTTTCCCTTTGTTTTTTCTCTCTCTCCCTTTTTTATTTTTTCCTTTTTTCCCTTTCCCTCTCCCCCTTCTTCCCTGCATTTTTTTTCTTTCCTCTTTTCTCCCTTTCTCTTTTCTCCTCTTTATCTTTTTTTTCACCCTTTTTCCTTTCTTTCTTCTTTCTCCCTATTCCCTTTTTTCTTTCTTTTTTCCCTTCACCCCCCTTTTTCTAGCTTTCTTTTTTCTAGCTATCTTTATCTTTCCTCTTTTTCCCTTTCTCTTTTTTCTCTCTCCTTTTTTTCCCTTTTTTATCTTTCTGTCTTTATCTTTTTCTCATTTTCCCCCCAAGCTGTGCTCTTAGGAAGAGGCAGAGCCCACGCGATGGCTCGGTGCCTGTCTCCCACAATAAAGCTGCTGAGCCAGGTGCTGACATCAGCAGGATTTGAGAGGGGCGGGGGGAAAAGGCCCCAGAAGCGCTGGGTCCCTTGGGGGTGTGTGAAGAGCAAGGCCAGGAAAGGAGATGAGGGACAGACCTACCTCCGTCTTGTTCCTGGGGAAGGCAGTGTGCGCTCAACCTCTGTGTTAGACACCAGAGACCACACAGGCAGGACTTTGCAGACATGCACGTATGCAGAAATCACGCAAGTGCTTTGGCAGGTCCATCTGCCCACAATGGAGGGACAAACTCGCTCAGCAGCCCCACAGCCATGTTTACCCTTTGGTTTCTCCTTCTCGACTTCATGGTGCTTGGTGGGGAGACCTCATGAAGCAAGGACCGCCGGTGACCTCAGCCCTCAACGCCACCATCATCACCTCTTGCTGCAGAGCAGCATGCCTGGCTGGCACCTTGTGGCTTTGAAGATCACCTGGAATTCGCTAGGATTGCGAAGAAACCACCCCAGGCAACCCCAGAGGCTGGAGGGAGCTGCTGAGCGTATCAGGGTGGCCATCACCCCACACAACCATGGGTGAGAAGGGCCCCAGAGAATCGGGAGCCACCATGTGATGCAATACTTTAGTTTTTCAGCTTTTTTGCTTTTGCAGCAATGATTTCCTTTACTGGGAGCTCTTGCACAGAACAGAGCTGCTACCCAGGCACTAACTCACCAGCAGTAACAAAGCCCCCAGAACAGTTAACATGAGCAGGGTGGCTGGTGTCCTGTATGTGCCACAGGGGAGGTGGGCTCTTGATAATGCTCCAAAAACCACACAAGAGGAGATTCAGTATCCTCTGCATTGGGTGACATGGTGCCCTTGAGGACACATCATTGAGCTGGCTGCTTTAGGAAGAGAGGGGAAGAAAAAAACCACTTCTCTTTGGGGAAAGGCATTTAATTTAAGTTTTGATATTTGGTAGAGCTTCATTGGGATTTGTTTTCTTCTATCAGCACCTTGGTAGAAAGGGAAGGACATCCCAAGGGGCTAGGAGAAACCCAAGCCTTGCCCTCATGCAGGGCTGAGGATTGGCAGGCCCCAGCTCTAGCAGGAGCTGGTGCCATTTTGCAATGTACCACCATAGGCTGGCTACTCACCAAGGGTGAGGGCTACCTTCTTTCCCCCAGGCAAGCCATGCTGTCACCTTGTTACTCATCAGCCTTTGACTCATGGCACGTATGATCTGGGTGCTGCAGGCAGGTACTTCAGTGATAAGGATCAAGCAATCACCTAGGTGGATTGGCTTTGGATGGGAACACCGGGTCTTTCTGCTGGTTTCAGCCAAAGCTGGAGTTACCTTTCAGCCTGTCTAAGCCACAGGTTATACTCAACCTCACTTTTGCTGGAGCAGCTAAATGATGTTTGCACCATCTGCTGCTCATGCTCAGGCTTGAATTACCAGTTTCCGCCTCACATCCCCATCTTCTCCCCAGCATGATGGACAAGAATGGATTTTGGGGAAACTCTTGACTGCATGTGGACTTGAAAAGGTTTGTCAGCTCTTCTCTTGCTGCAGCCAAGCTGCACTACCTGGGCTGCGGTTCTGCTGTGCTTGCATGGCTCCGAGCCATGTCCATCAGCTGAACACCTTTTTCTTCTTCATACAGTATTGTTAGAAATTAGCTTCTCTCCCCAGCAACCAGCCAAGCTGTAGGAAACACTCCTCATGTTGTCTCTCCCTGCTCGCCTAGAATCAACAAGGTTGGAAAAGACCTTTAAGATCATCAAGTCCAACCAGAGAAACTTTAACTGAAACATTAACCGAAAGGATTTGAAACCTTTGAATCACAAGAAGAAACATCTTCCCATGCTTTTCATCCCCTCCAACCGCAGGAGGACAAACAGCCTTGGGAGGTGGTGAAGCCTGGCTCACTAACCCCTCAACACGTATGAAGCATTACAGCTCTGAATGTTGAGTTCCTGCCAGGCCTGGAGCACAGGAGCACTGTTCCAAGGGCCAGTATAATACCTTGGGACTTGTTGTGAGGGTCCTAAAAGCAGCCAAAGCCTCTGATCAGCTTAAGCTGTGGGACCACAACTAGCCAAGGCCTCTTGTGCTACCTCAGAACCCTCATCCCGCAAAGTCCCAGGACTCAGACACTTTGTACCTTGATCCAAGAGCTTTCATGTTGTGGGAAGCTCCCTCCTACCTTCCAGGTCTGACATCCTTCTCCCTTTGCAGGTCTCTGGCTGAGCCTTCTAACCAAGGAAGGAAATTCCAGGCAGAAGTCCACCATGGCGTCACCTGGGTTGGGTATCTCTTGAAAGATGCCTGCAGTCTGGCTCTGGCAGCACTGGTTATCAGCTGGATCTTGGCTGGGAGCTCCCTTTGTTTGTCAGGCAGCGCCACTCCTGCTGTGTCACGCCTTATCTCAACCTGGACTTTGGACAGACCTGTACTGCAGACACCTTAGGCAAGGAGGAGCTGTTGATGGTGATCACCCACTTGGGTGAGCTCAAAGCTAAAAGGCTAAAAGCACCAGCAGAAGCCAGGCTGGTTTGCTTCTCTCAAAATCAGAAAGCTTTGCTCTGGTGTGCTCCCAACTCTGGGACCCACCTGGGTGCCACGCTGGAGCAAAGAGGCAATGCCTGCCTTTAATTATGGGTTTTAACCATGCAGCATGGCCAGAGGGAGCACATCCTGAGGTAGGCAATGGACCATTATTACCCTGGCTCCACAGATAAACCAGGCAGCAGCTCACCGCTCTGCCAACGAGCTGTTGGGACAGCACAGCTGTTCTGTCCCTGCACAAAAAGGAGGGGTCCAGCCTGCAACTGCCTGGTCAGACAAAGCACCCTCAGTTTTTACAGGGAAAGCAGCACACAGTCACTGACACGTGCTGGGTTTCTCCCGCTCAGACAGCAAGTGTTTGCCAGAAAACTCCACAACCCATGGAAACTTAGGTCTGAAACATAAAAAGCAGAGACCAGGTCAGGGAGCTAGTGCCTGCAGCAAGCTGCACACTGTGCTGATGAACTACTAATGATGATCACTTGTGTACTGGAGCAGCACAGGGCAGCACCTGCAGAAAGGGTACGAGCTCCTCAAGCACCGGGCTAATCCAGAGGCTGGAGAGGAATCAGTCACTGACCCAGGGGAGGGGAAAGCCCATTTATTTAGGCTCTTTTAATTTGGCACGCACAGAACATACCACAGTAATGCACTGGAGGCTAAGGGTTTTGGTTTTGTTATTTTTTTTTCTTTTTCTCTACAGACATACAAGAAAACTCTATGCAACTCCCATGTACACATTACACAAAGGAAACAGCTTTAATCAACCACTGGTGAAACATGGAAGCTTTTAAGATCTCTGTAGCTGGCACAGGAATGTTCTCTACCCCCTCCCCCCCCCCCCCACCAAAAGGCCTCAACGTGAACCCCCAATACAAAAGGCATTTCAGGTCAAACTTTCTAGTAGGTGATATTTCCATGCATTTCTACAGAATTAAAGAAGCTAACAGACAAAAAAAGCCCAGATCAAGCCGTATTAGTCGGGCTGATGGGTTCTACTAAGTTAAATCAAGAGTAATTACGGACAAATGGACCAAGTGACCAAGGACTGGGGCTGAGAATACCACTTTTTAAAGATGTGGCTCCTCCTCATTGTACTACCCATAAGTGGAGAGCGCTGCTATAAGAACCTGCACTTGTAAAAGCTTCAGAAGCATCCAATCTGCTAGTGTGTTATTAGAGAAACTAAGGTAGTTCTAAATTAAACTACATCAACAGAAAAGCAGTTTTTATAGAATCACTCAGGCTGGAAAGACCTCAAGACACTTCATAACAAGAAAATTGAACCTACAGAACACGTGAACCTTTAAATATTATTACTGCACCGTGAGTTTACAAGAGTGGATTAGGACTATTTCTCCAGGAAAAAAAAAAAAAATAAGTGTCTCATCTCCATTTACCTTCAGAATCAGCCTTTATTAGTACTGCTCTGCAACTGAAAGCACTAAGAATTTAACCCAGTTTTGGTGCCAACAGGTTGCTTTAGCCAAACAGTTAACTATAGGTTTGAAGTTTTGCATTAAACAGTTATAGGGGAAACGTTTTTGAGTTTGGCAATTTGGCCAGTAGCCTCAAAAAGACCAGCTGAATTTTTCTTGATACAATTTAGAAAAGCAAGAACAGGAACCAGATTGTTCTCACCTCCCCCCGCTTTCATCCCATGATACAGTGCTGCATTGGACCAAAATTTTTTGGAGACCTTTAGTGTTAAGTCCATCGGATACATAATTGGGCCGGACAACCAATGCAAATATTAATACACCAAGATAAATCCTTAGATTTGATTTATTTAGGGTCATTTGTACATACGAGCTACATCTCCAAAATCTACTTTATGCTACAAGACAGCTTCCCTACAGTTAGTGAAACCCTTGCCTAGAATGGTTGCTTTACAGAACTGATATATTAAAACATGGAATGCTTGTAGAGTTGTGGCACTGTATGACATCTACACGGGACTTCCTTCAAAAGCTACGACTAGGGAGCCTCCTAGCTTCTCAGCAATGCAAGCTCGGTTGAGGTCCTCTGGCCCATTTGCTTGGCATTCATGCTTTATGCCTAAAAAAGAGGCAAAACACTCAATAATGCATTATTATTTCCACATGCTAGTTATCAATCAAAGAAACATATTTGCTAGTATTATTAGAAGCAGCAATCTGGTCACTCAAGCAGGTAAGTCCTGCCTTAGCTTAAGAATTGGGATGGTTTTCTCCTGGTATGTCACAAGAGACATGTGGCTGCACACCAAATACCAACACAGAAATGTCAGGGGGAAAGTTTTCCCTAGGTCACTGCTCAGACTGTTGGCCTTTCCATTGCAGGCTGTCTCACAAGCAAAGCTCTCATTTCTAGTGCTACCCTGGCGATGGCAGGGGAGGGAGCTACACACAAGCACACTAAGATGGCTGACTCAGCTTCTGCTGGCTCTGGAGATGTGGGTCAAAGAATCAGAGTGAGAACCTGAGATGTACATCCAGAATGACTTTGCTGGTGTAGGCAAAGGGAGGGAAGGCAGCGAGCCCAACACCCAAGCCTGTCTTATATGGAGAAAAGCAGAATTTCTTCAGGATTTCTTTTTTTTCTAACTCCCACACATGCAGCACACAAGTCTCATCACAGACTGGTTTAGGTTAGAAGTGACCTTAAAGCTCATCCAGTTCCAACCCCCTGCCACGGGCAGGGACACCTTCCACTAGAGCAGGTTGCTCCAAGCCCCTGTGTCCAACCTGGCCTTGAACACTGCCAGGGATGGGGCAGCCACAGCTTCTCTGGGCACCCTGTGCCAGGGCCTCAGCACCCTCACAGGGAAGAACTTCTTCCTAATGTCTCATCTCAGTCTCCCCTCTGCCACGTTAAAACCATTCCCCCTTGTTCTGTCCCTACAGGCCCTTGTCAAAAGCCCCTCTCCAGATTTCTCGTTGGTCCCTTTAGGCACTGGAAGCTGCTCTAAGGTCTCCCCTTAAGGATCCTTCTGTTCTCCAGGCTGAACCAGCCCAGCTCTCTCAGCCTGTCTCCAGAGCAGAGCTGCTCCAGCCCTTGAAGCATCTCCATGGCCTCCTCTGGACTCTAACAGCTCCATGTCCCTCTTGTGTTCGAGGCCCCAGAGCTGAATGCAGTAGTTCCAACCCAGTGGCTGGCACTGCTGCACAATGATCCCATCAGTCCTGCACACTGCAAGCAGGAACTGAAGGGGAGCAGTGCTATCTGCCTACACACCAGACTGACTTAGCATGAAATTTCTGAATGCTGCAGCAAGGTGTTTACTCCTTGGCTAATGGTGCCCCACAGAAGAACTTTGCTTCTCCACTAGGAGATGCAATGCCTTTTGAAATGAGTAATCCCAACTGCACCTCTAAATCAAGCGAATCATTAATTACTACTACTACAGCACACTAAGTTTATGAGATTGTGTATTTCATCAGACACGGGGCTGAAAGTCCTCTGCCATAGAGGCAGGTCTGCACAAAACCCAGCTCTGTGTTAGGAATCTAATGGTTTCTAGCCTGTAGGGTGCAGATGTGCTGCTCTGTACAGTACAGCTACAGCGTCGCACACTGCAAAGCCTGCTCTTGACCATAGCTCCTGTGTCTCTATAATCCAGAGTCAGCAGTGTAAGTTTTAGGCAGATCTCATTTTAGCTCTGTCAGAGGCATTTCACCTGTGAAGTTCTCATGTCTCACTAGTACCTCAAATCCCAAACCAATTAGCCAACAGTTAAGCCTCGCTGTGTAAGCATTGTAGGAACATGCACAGGTAGGAGCACTATGTGCATTACATACCTTGAAACTTCTTTTTGATTGCATCCTTGGAGCTTGCGTAGATCATCTTGCTTTTGAGAGGTGCTTGTTCTGGTGCCCTAGTGGGATACACCAGAAAGAATGCAGTTAGTGACATTTATTATCCAGCAGAGACAGAAGCAGTATCCTACTGATGATGAACAAGTGAAGTGTCTTATGGCTCAAAAGACAGGCTCACTTTAAGCCTACCATTTCTCAGAGACCTCACCCACAGTGCTTGGACTGCATGTTAGGAATGAGTTAGCTGGGAAGACGGCTTACCACAAGAAAAACATCAGCTCTTCTTTTTTGGATTCCTTGGTCTCGAAGCTTGCATCATACAAGGCATAACGGCAATCCTTCTCGGGAAGCATCTGCACAAAGTGCTTGAAAGGGTCGGTAACTGTCACACCGACATCTCCCACCAGAATCTCTTTGCCTTCTTCCACAATAATGCACTTTTTATCTGGACTGAGGCAGAAGATGACAGCCTTCTTCCTCTTCTTGATTTCTTCAGGCGTAGAGCACTTCCGCACTTTCATGTCATAGAAAATACGGCATACCTCATCAGCAACTTGTACTCCAGATGCCTGCAAAGACAAGAGCAAAGACCTTCAGGGCTACCACCGCAAAGTTTCATAACTCCTTTAGCACACTGCCTTAAATCCGAGGCTAGAAGACAACTGACGCTGGCAATAGTCGCCAGTGGCCTGAGAGTCTCGTCAGGAAAGGCTGCAGGCCCTCTTTTTCCAGGCCAAGTAAAGAATCTGGAGTCTCGATGCTGCCCACAGGCAGCTGCCAAACCAAAAATATTCCAAAGAAGGCACAATCCTACTTATACTAGAACATTATTTTTGGGGTAGTTTCACATGCATGTCCACCCCTTGTCCTCCAAGATTCAGCCATGGCAGATCCTTTGGCATTAAAGCAGCTGAATTCTGTTCCCCATTTCAGGCTGACCAGACAACCAAGTCCATGAGAATCTTCTGTTCAAAGTTTCCTAGCCATTTCTAGCATGTTTGCTAGCAGCTTTAGAAACAGAGGTAAAATGTGGCCAAATTCCATGCTTGTCACATGGATTTGGTTTAGAGATGAAGAGAGATGTAGTGTGGGGTACTGCAACTGCAGTGGTATGGTTTTTAGCTGAACAAGCCAACTTTCAGAAGCTGTTCTGAATTCAATGTTTTAAAGGGAGAACTTGCAAGTCTAACAGTTAAAGTGTCTATTTCCCAGCAATTCATCAGTTTTTCAAAGCAAGTTGCCTGCCTTTTCATCTTTTTCCCCTTGAAGTCTGATGGGAAATTCTAGTTACTGAGTGGTGTATCTTCCTGTCCTCGCTGTAACAGGAGATGCAGATGCAGCATCACCAATCTGATGTTAAAGGCAGCTGCACAGAATAAAGAGGACAAGACCTAGTGAGAACGACAAGAGCCTGAACTGCATTTTCAGTCTGCTGCTTTTTTGGGAATGAGACAAAAAAAGGTGGCAGGGTAGAAGCATTTGTATCTGTGTTTTGTTATCAGAGTGCAGCAAAGTTGGAGACCTTAAAAGCAGCTGAGTAATAGCAAATATGGGAAGTCATGCTGGAAGGACATCCTGGCCAGAGCAGTAAAGACCAAACCGAAGGCTGTCCAACACTTATTTGCCTGTTCAAAACCCTGCATGCAGTGTAAACAGTGAGACTTCTTTCTCATACTGCTTCTTCCCCTGCTGGTCTTCTAAATCCAGATGACTTTATCCTCAGATATGGTAATTCATATCACAGAAGGAAAAATGGCCCTCCTCCCTTTGTGTAAACTCCCACACACCGCTGTTAAAGCACAGTCAGCACTATTACAGAGTCATGCAAAGCATTATGTGAGATACACCAACTGAAAAGGAGTAAACGCTGAATAGGACTAAAGGTTGTTCTTTACTTCGGTTTTCCTCAAGCTCAGCCCCAAAATGTGTGTTTGATGCATTCATTTGGAGGGGCATTGTACCTTGCCAGAGTGGAAGTGTTCTAAAGACACAGCAGAGTTCAGCTGCAAAACCAGAGAGGTCAGTGGAGCAGGGGTGCTCAGTGCTACCTTTCCAACAGGCTGTCCTTGGGAGATGGTTACTGGACTGGACAACTACTTAATGTGTGTTTTTCCTTAAAGCCTTGACCAATGCCTACCTTGCAGGACCTCAGATGAGTCCTTTTCCTACCAACATGTCTCCTTCTGTAACTTCCAGTGGCTGGCATAGCTTTGCTAACCCAGTGAAGTGGCACAGCTGGCAGCATCTATGACCACTGGAGTTTGACATCAAGTGCTGGTCATGCAAAATCAGGGCAATCTCCTACAGCAGTGAATCTGAGACAGAAGCTTTTCTCTAGCATGGAGCACAGTGCTCTTTAGGGGGTTCCTCAAATACAAGTGGACCTCCCTCAAGATTTCTGATGCGTGGCTTCCTTATTAGGGGTAATCTATCCTGGATCCCTTGCACTTTGGGATAGGAGAACAGGGAGGAAGTCACTGTGCCTGGCAGCCAGCCACCCTTATGCATATCACCAATAAGGCAAGGAAAGTAAGTGGAGAGAGCCCATTCCAGGATAAATCTGAGCAAAAGTGCAAACATGGACTCAAAGTGACTCATGCCCGTGTCACCTTCTCCACAGCAAAAGACTTGCACTTTGTCAGAGTGTGATATAGAACTAATGTGGAATAAATGTCTTTCTCTTCCTGTCCCTGCAGTTTGTGTGGTCAAGAGCTCTCTGGGAAGACAAGGTTGCCCTAATAAAGCAAAGAGTGCAGCAACTAGAACTATTGCATCATTCTCTAAAGACAAACCTGCACTGAACTCAAACCTTTATTTCCCTGATGTTTGTCTTCTAAATAAGGGCATCTCAGTAGCTGACAACAGGTATCAAGGCTCAGTTTTTAATCACAAAGCCCTTAAAAGTGTAAGTAGAAAATGCTTAGAAAGCCTGAAATAGCATGGGAATGAGTCTAGTAGTTGCATAAAATAGCTCTACCTTTGTCAATTCTTGATCTTTGTTCTAAGACCACAGCAACTAGAAGTCAAATTTGGAAGAAGAGGTTAATGCTCAGCAGAGAGCCAGAAGCACAGAACAGCAACAGAGCCGCAGGTTGATGCAAATTGTGCAGTCAAAGAGCATATGCTCGTGCTACTGCACAGCCAGAAACATGTCTCCAAGTCAGGAGACAAGTTGTTACCTTATAAAGAAACTGAGTACTGCTGGCAAGTCAGTTCAGATTCCAAAAATGTTGAGAGTATTTAGTCTGGAAACTCAAAATTCACTGTTAAACTGCAGCTGATAACTGGGACTGACCAGAAGCTGAAGGGGCAGGAGTAAGAACTGGATTTTTAATTCAGCTTTCCAAAGCAAAATGCTGTTAGTAGCTGCTGCTACTCCTTCTCACAGCTGCTGTACAACCCCTGGATTCAACACACAGGATGACATTAGCAGCCATTATATTGTTAGAGACAATGCAGATTTGTTCCATCTGAGAAACCCTATAGCTGTGTCACAGCATGAGCTGAAGTGAACCCATAAACTCCCGGTGCAACTTATTGCTTCCAAAAAGAGGGTCTACTTTTGTAACTGTGGGACTCCCTCTTCAACGGTGAGCTTGTACCAGCCACTGCTGTCTTCATAAACGTACTTAAAAAGGAAAAAGAAAAAACCCAAACTCTAAGCAAGTTTTGGTGGAAGGTGGCTGTAACCCTTCAGTGTAGGGCAGCAAGAAGATTACTGGTAAGAGCACTGGAATGAGGAGAAATGCCACGCTTGTAAATACATATCCTCAATTGACATATGCTGATTTGCACAGAATAGCTGGTGAGAAGCCTCCACCCCATCAGCAATGGCAGAATGTTTATTTGTTCTTCTGGAGAAGAGAAGGCTCCTTAAGGGGAGACCTTAGAGCAGCTTCCAGTGCATAAAGGGACCAACAAGAAATCTGGAGAGGGGCTTTTGACAAGGGCCTGTATGTAGGGACAGGACAAGGGGGAATGGCTTTAACCTGACAGAGGGGAGATTGAGATGAGACATTAGGAAGAAGTTCTTCCCTGTGAGGGTGCTTAGGCACTGGCACAGGGTGCCCAAAGAAGCTGTGGCTGCCCCATTCCTGGCAGTGTTCAAGGCCAGGTTGGACACAGGGGCTTGGAGCAGCCTGCTCTAGTGGAAGGGGGTCCTCCCACTCAAACCACTCTGATTCCATGACACGATTGTTAGTCTGGATTTTCTTTTTCTGGCCTGATATCACTCTGCTCAGAGGATTCAGTACAGCACATTCATTATTATTTTGTGCATTCTGGCTTGAACACTGCAGAGCTACAACAGCTAGCCTGGTTCTGCTCCTTTTTCAGCATGAAAGCCATTATCAGACTCTGGACTGGTATGTGGTTAAAGGTTGGACTTGATGACCTTAAAGGTCTTTTCCAACCTAGTTGATTCTATGATTCTTCAGGTGGCTGCTTTTTTAGCAGTACATGTTGCAGGTACTTATGGGATACGCAACTATCATCTGATGATGTTTTGTTGCAAGGGATAGATCAACCCTGTAACACAGGCAACATCAATTTAAAGCCATTCTTGGGACACAACTGCAGAGTAAAGACCACATTCAAGTAGCCAGCCTGTTTCTAGAGGTGTTGAGGACCTTATCTGTAAACCACCTAATTATCAAATGGGAAAATGATGCCAGTACAGCATCTTCAGGGAGACATCCTAGCAAGAATGGACAAAGCTTCTTTGAGGAAATCGGCAAAAATTTCCCTCCCCCACCTCCATGCAGCTATGGCAAAGGCAGTGTGTCTTGTGGGCAGCATGGCCTCATACATCATTCTGAAGCACTTCCACCAGTATCCCCATTGTGTTTTCATACAGACTGCTGTAGGCACATGAGGTAATGGTTGCATTAAATGCCTCGTCAGCATGCGCTGCAGTAACACAGCGGCTCTTATTCCCCACACAAAGCCACCGTTCCTGCCTTAAGTGCAAAGCACTGCAGAAGCCTTGTGAGAGCAGAATGCTGTCCCTCCACAGGGCAGGCCAAAAAGAGAGCCTTCTGTCTAGCCAGCTTCCAACTGCAAGAGCCATCCCCAGCTGCCTCCACTAATAGCTTCCAACATTTTGCCTCTATCACCAACTAAATTACCGCAACTGAAATTTAATCTAAATGAGGGAACACTGAAGAATAATGCAAAGCTTTCTCAAGAAAATCCCCATATACAGAAACCCATTTCAGGACTGAGACACATGCCAGACACCTGATAAACTGGATTTGTAGCAAGCCTGCATTGAAACACAACTTTGATGTAATGAAATTTGCTTCCTCTTTTGTCAGGAAGTGCTGTGAACTCCAATATTTTCCTTGAATGCTTAAAATATTTTACCTAGGAAAAGTCCTTTGTTCCTTCCTTGACTGTAAGACGGCCAAAAAGACTTTAAACTAATGACTTAGTTTGCCTCAAGATGAGTTTGAAAGACTGAATTTGGTTTTAAAGATTGACAGTTGTATACTGTGGGTTTTCTCTCCCATGACCAGAGCCCTCCATAGTGGTGCCTGTGCATGTGTTATCTACAGAGACATTTCAAGAACCAGTT